AAATTTTCTTGATACCTATATTGTGAATTTAAATGTCGACTTTTGTTACAAAATAAGCATCTCGAAATATACTTTCCAATTCCGGTTAACTGTAGTTTTATTATTCATCCCGCTGAGGTTAACAACAATGACGCGCTGTGAGGATGATAAGTAGAACTGACATCTGTGATATCCTAGCGCAGCTATATGCACATGTTACATTCCGACCAGCATGCACGGTTGGGAGACTTTGGCCACTTTTAGAAGCGTGTATTCGATTGGTGTATCTGTTGAAGATCAAAATACCAGAATGCACTGCGCTGATACCTCGTTTTGGCAATTCGTGAGGTGCACGCTGAACCTACAACTTTCCCTCTGAAAATACTCACTAATGAACTCGCCACCGGAAGCGTTTTATTTCCAGAAACTGCCGAAACACTGAGTAGCTCGTGAGAAAAATACACATAATGAGTGTAATTTTAATCTAAGGTGTTCTCAGCTACGCAGTGACTCAACACGTGACCACGTGATTTGCTTCCTTGACTTAATAACCAGTGACGCTATATCTTATCTACACACGGCGAATCGGCCGCAGAGTGATATATTCTAAGCGACTCATGTATACACTCCCCATTTTCCAAAAACATTTTCTGAAGCAAGGTTTTTAAATACGGTCCTGATATTCCTAGGGCCGTACTCTGGATGTTATTACGAATCCATGGATTCCGATGTGAAAATTGGCCAAGTCAAGCAACCCTATGACTGATATTGTGATTAATTGTGCCTCAATGAATTCACCAAAAATTTTGAGACACCATATGACGGATTATTTGGAGAGCGTTTCCCAGAAACAGCGAAAATGTAAGTCAAAGCAACTGCCATCAACCGAACTTATTAAGGTGACTATTGTGGTTGTGGTTAGTCCAAGCGGAAGGTGCAATTTCCGCTTCTCTAACAAATGTACAAGTTTGGCGGCTTTATAACATTCATTGTTTGGGAGAGGTTTCTAACGCATTTGTATGGCACGAGACATTCGGCGTTACGTTGCATATTAGAAAAGTGCATAAGTCACGAGAACCCCCTCAGTGATTTAACTCAATAAATATTAAATGATATATGTCACCACAGATTCTCAAGCCATAACTCAGTTATGAGTGCATACATACAGCTGCATGGGAGCTGGGGTAAAAGAAGAATGCAACTCAAGCGAAAGTCTCAACCCAAAATTCTGCTGAAAATTATCAAATAAAAAGTAGCGGTTAGATTAAACATGAATAACAATTGGGTTTTCCATGTAATTTGTGCTTTGGGGGCAAGTGAGCTTAGCGAGAGCTTGAAGCCTTTCTTCGTTTGCAAAACGTATATGCGTGACAGAATACTGCTTAGAAAACAAAGCGATTTCACTCAACTTCCACGGACCCAGGGAAGGTTGTGCGAATCCTGGACAATTTGGGGGCTGGGTTCGTTGCCACCAGGCCACAAAACAGCGCAATTTTGCAGAAAACGAGGTTTAAGTGCGGAGACACCTTCCGTTAGCCTAAGCTAAGAAGTTTATCTCCAAGCAGGATCACGTTTAATCTCAGTTATTCAATGCGCTTTTCGCTTACAGCATACTTCAACGGCATCCCTTGTGAGTATGAATTCAAAGGTACCGCGTTTTGGCTAGAATGATAGAATTGTGGCATGCCGTCGCCTACCGTGATAACCAGAAACGTCGGATTGACGAATGATACAAGAATGGTTAAATTTCTTGTTGTAGTCATCGCCCATTACTTACGCAAGTTGTTCGAGGCTAGAATATTTTGACTATACACTAGGCGGCACTACACTCCGGACTTTTGTGGCGCTTTTGCATGAATCCGGGACAATCGTTAGGGCTTGCTTCGTTGATACTAAGGCACAAAACAGCGTAATCTTCCACAAAACGAGGGTAAAGAGCGGGGACATTCATAAATTTGTTTTCACGTTTTCTCTGAAAATCGAAGGTAAATTGGACAAACACCCAGACAATCTACTGTAGCAAGGTAAAGATAACCTAACTCTTTCCACAGAAGGCTGTCTGTTGCACACAAGTAATAAAGATGAGACTCACATTTTGTTGAATAATCACAAATTAGATTAGGTCGTCTCAATATGGCTGAAGTTGTCATCTTGTTCAGTTCATTCACAGGGAAATACTAGTCTGTGGATCTCATTTAGTTAAAGATACAAACCGAAGTTAACTGCTACTTTTGTAGCACAGGAAGCTGATCGCCTAGTTTGAGCGTGCTAAATTTCACGCAAATCAGATCACTAAGAACACACGTAGCATTACTGGTTTGTTTTATATGGCACAAATGTTGTTCTCACACATGAACTTGGAGAAATATACGAACATCTGTACTGTGACATTCATGGAAGAGGATATATTTAGGGCACTGGGATCACTTAATTTTCCGCCGATCAAAACAAACAGCGAAACAGCATAGGTAGAAATTTCGGTTCCTCAAGCAGCGTCACATCTGAGATAGCTGTATCGTTTCCAGCGTGAACGAATGTGCTGCACCAATATTTAAGAAGGTACCTTTGGGCGTGGGTAGCGTTGCATGCATGTCAGTATATGGGCAATGCTGAAACCTACAATCAGTTGTGAGTACATAAAGCGACTTGAGGAGTGGATGGAAACGAGATGTGCATGGTACAAATGACCGTGTAACGGTGATATTAAACGCAGTTGAAGCTGAAATCCGACGACGGGAACACGTTCACTGGTTTCGTGGGTAATATTAAGTGAACCTAACAAGTAATCCTAGAATATTAAGTTTATCTCTAATGGTAGCTTTAAATGCACGAGCACCGAAAACCAGAATACCTTGTAATTATCGCTGAAGAGAAGTGCCATTTCCGAATTTATCCTCCGAAAATTGATGTACACATGTCGAAAACAGAAACAGCATTCAAGACGTTGTCTTGGCTGCATTGAAAAGAAAAGAAAATTTGATGTTTATATTGCAAGACATAATTTGAATTTGAGGTCATTAGTTAGTTTGAGGCTACAGGATAGACAACACAGAGTGGGTTAAATGGTAATATTGTGAAACGATGTAACATAAAACTGACCTCTGAGCAGTGATTCCTTGCAGGAACTAGATACGCTACAAAATTCGTCTGGAGTTTCTTCAACGCACTTAAATTTCTCGCATACGTGGGCGTGCATATACATCCCCCCGCCATTTTGGATAAACTAAAAAACAAACAGAAGGATATTTTGAAATACCACGGTTTATTCTCCTTACCTTACAAAATCTGCAGTTCGTATCTGCTACGTATGAATGTGGCGGTTCCCAGTGTGGTATACAATTCCTTCAAATTTGTTACGAAATGTTCACGCAAACGTACTCCTGCAAATTATGGAAGAATTAGACATACACTAGAAATTTTTACCTACCTTTCAACATTCACACTAAAATTCACAGATGGAAAACAAAGTGCGAAATTTCACTTAATTTGGACTCCGGTAAAGGACTGATGAGAAAAATGAATCAATCTTTCGGGCGGAATCTACTCACCAGTCCCATTATCAAGGTTGCAGAATTGCGTGTCACAACATTTTTCACACCAGCACACACGAGCTCAACGTTGGACATATGCACAGTTGTTTGCACATGTTTCCGCAATCTAGGCAGAAAAGGTTAATTTAAAGAAGACAGTATACCTAATTCCAATTATGGAGGGCAAAAGAAATGAGAATTTGATACAAACCTCACAGTATTTGCATCCGTTTTCGATTGTCATATTGCTTCCTTCGTCATGCACCAAGCACTTGATACCTGGAGATTATCAGAATAGCGTAGAAGTGCGCTAGTTGTGTCTCACCTGAACAACCAGCAATCCGTGTAAGGAGTAAAAGAACGAAATGTGCTATCATACCCGACTTATGAAAAACCTGTTTGGCGAAAACATATAGGCAGCTAGGGCTAGCTTGCACTTAATACGACATGTTAACCGTCAGTATTGATTTCCGACAATGGTAAGTGAAGCGTTCCCCCTCCCAAATAAAGCAACGTTGCCTGTAACCTACGCATATTTTGTCAGTTTTTCAGTTTGCCAAATTGTAGATAAAATAAATGAGATCCAACCATTTATTATCAGGGTCAAATTGCTACAAACCTAACACACTTGCTCGCATCACTTCGCGTTATCTGACTGAAAGGTTCGAAACCAGATAGGAATATTACATATGACCATGCGCATTTGAAGCTGATATTTCACAGTCGGACCGCGCTCGCTGGCTTCGTGAACATTATTGAGTGAATTGATGAGATGTTTCTAATAACGAACGGCAGATTATCCCATTTATCTTTAGTGGTGTCTTTAAGTAACCGCAGACCAAAACCAGACGCCCTTGCGACTCATGCTTAAGAGAAGGGCGACTTCAGATTTTATTCTCCAAATCTTGTCGAAAAGAGCAACAAGATTGTTTGCATTTTCTTGGACGAAACTAAATGTTGCAAGACAATTCAAATTTGGGTTATTAAGTTTGTCAGTTAGTTTGCATGTAAGTCAACAAGTAAGTGAGTAAGTAAGTAAGCAAGAAGGTAAGTATTTAGGTAAGTAAGTAAGTGAATAAGTAAGTACATAATTAGGTCAGTATGTAAGTTAGTAAGTGAGTAGGAAAGTAAATAAGTAGGTAAGTAAGTAAGTAAGTAAGCGAGTTAGTATGTAAATAAGTAAGTAAGTAAGGAAAGTTAGATAGTTAGTAAATAAAATGCTCATTTAAGTTGCTAGTTCTTTAGTTGTCACTATTGGCAGGTTGCTAGGAAGTCGGTTAGTTACACCCACCTAATAAGCTTCACGCGTTTCGCTAAGGCTACAAGATAGAAAACAGCATGGGTTAAAATGGTAATACTCTGAACAGCTGTACCATTAAACTCTCCTCTAATTAGTGACGCGTTGCAGAAACCAGAGTCGAAAGAAACATTTGTTGGAAGTTTCTTCAAAGTAACTAAATTTCCCACATGTGTGTGCGTAGTTTTTCATACCGTAGGCATTTAGGATAACCCAAAAGGCACGCGTAACGATGTTGTGAACAGGTATCGGTTTATGTCTCCTCAACCTACAGTATCTGCATTTGGTACCCGGCAGTTTTCCAGTGTTAATCTGTTAAGAAATGGTCCCGCAAACTTACTGCTGCAGATTATGCATACACAGTTAGGGCTAGCTTGCGCTTATATATATCATGTTGAACGTCACCATTGATTTTCTAACAATTACAAGTGAATAGGTCTTCCCCCAATAAAGCGAAGTTGCCTGTTACCTTCGCACATGGTGTCAGTTTGTCAAACAAAGATGTGAGCCGATGAATAGGCTTGAATTGTGTGTCATCAAAGGCAGGCACCGCAATTAGACCATTAATTTCACATTGCAGGTGAGCATTTTGTTCCTGTTGCTTTAGCTACTGTGACGCGCTGGTGTTTGTAGATGTCTTGGCATATGGATGAGAGGGTATGATATCTATATGGAGCTCGGCTCATGAAACGGTTTCCACCATTAAGGAAATCACGATAATTTGTGGCCTGTTAGTTGTGTTCTCGAACATATAGTGGACTCCAATAAATACCCCCTGCCTTCTTTCAATATGCCTCTCAATGTTTGAATGAACGGTAGTCTTCATTCTTGCTTAAAGCGCTTGCATCCGGGCAGCAAGCAATTCATGTGCTCCCTTAGAGTCGACGTACTCTCTGCGTTGCTCACTCTAAGGCGGCTTGGTGGATTTTAACGTCTGCGGCTTCACATCTGATGATGAACATGACTTTCGTGGGGGTTGGCGGTGGTGAATGTCCCAAATGTATGCAATGAATATGTTTTGGTATCCAGGAAACCGGCATTTTTTCATGGTAGAAAATTTCATTTTGATGTGTGGCGAAATTCAGATTTCACGAGCCAACGGGAAAGAGCAAATATGGTTGGGTACAGCAATGTTATAGTGGATAATTTTGAGTTTTCCTGAATTTTAGACAATTCAAATGTGAACACATACATACACATTGGAACACATCCTGACCAAATGATTTATGTTTGTGTTTCCACGCTAAGATGTCTGAATTCACGTAAGCCGGCCCCTGGCGTGCAACCAATATTCCGGAAACGTCCGTTTGAAACAAACTATTCGGTTAGAAGTGAAATAAATTGGCCTAAAATATCCTGTCTATCCCTTCGGCTACTCCACATCAATTCAAGAGCTAGAGAACTCAGTGACAGGTGTGGTTTCCGTGCGTTTTACACGCACAAATCATCAGTGATGGACAATGGACGATGTCTCACTGATCGCGAAGGATTACTTGATTTATTCGTGATAGACCTTATACTGTTATACAGGTCAAACCATCCAAGGCGCACAACGTGTGAATGTTATACAGTCAAACCATCCAGAGCGCACAATGTGTGAAGTGTTTAAAACCAACTAATTGAGGACACACAAAACTGAGCGTTGCTAGCCGTATGTCATCCTCAAATCGGGAACAACGCTTTCCAAGGTTTACCTGTGCTTAGTATTTGAAACAGGCAATCTCTCTCTGTGCTGACTGCCGAATTTTATTCATATAATCAACCCAATTTCACACGACTCTTACCAACACTGACCTTTATTAGACGGAATCAACCAGAATATCGGTTCCTCACCGTGCCTCATCGTCCGTGATTGCTCGTCGTGGTAAACATGCGGGACGTCTAGAATTTTCTGAAGTCACCTGCTGTCACAACGCTGGCATCGTGTTAACCATATCGTGTGCCAAGGTGATCAACACCACCACTGCAATCCTCTATTGCGAGAATGAAGTCAGTTTGCTTCCGTTTATTTAACTAATTTCACTGACTTCCGCGTGGCATTATAATGGCTTTGTAACTTCCTCTATCGGGATGTAACACTGCTGAAAAAATCCAGTGCGTTTTGCATATTAAGCGTTTGAGAATAAGTATCGGTACTGGAAGAGTGATAATCTGGAGATGTTTCCCAGTTCAACCAAATGAGCAGTTATTTTTTTATCTTTCAGGTTTGACCTCAAGTTGTCTTTGAGTGTTCACAATCGTATGATATTTTGATGAGGCATTACTAAATTTGATCTTGGTCACGCCTAGCCTAGAAAACGTCTCTTGCAGTTCGCCATTAATACATAATCTAATGGAATAGAATAAAACCACACATGCGTTAGAGTAAAGTGGAATTCGAACTGCTGTCCGTAGAATAATATTATTAATTTCTCAGGGAAATGTTTTGATTCCGTTCATTCTACACTTGGTCGGACTTTCTGGATCACTACAGAATGTGACTTCAACAAGTGCGCTTGACTATTTTTCTGTTAGTTATACTGAGTAATTGCATCTTCTTTGTAACATCTGCGGACCGATGTGTAAGCCATCCGAAACCTTGAAGCTGCCAGGCCTTTGCGCATTCTGTATGATGAAAATAAATGTTTTCCGAAGTCTGTGAGCGGTTTACCACTTGCACGCACCACAACGTTGTACAGTGCCCCGAAATTATTCGCACACCATGTGATCTGGGGAGCATAACTGTTTCACATCAGTGTTGGGATACACAATATACTTCAACGATAGCTTCCGGATGACGTTCGTTTCTTCTGTTATTGTGAAGGATTCATCGATTGTCTAAAAGTACTCAACACCTTAATGCACGGCTGCTCTTTTGAACTGTCTAAAAGTACACCTTAATGCACGGCTGCTCTTTTGAACTAAAATAACCTTCGTGCTAAAGGAATAGCAAACCACGGGGTTTTCCTCATCTCATATTTATTAACACAGCAAGTCACTTAGTAAGCAACTTGTGTTTTACAGAGTGGTTCGGCCAGTATCCTAATCGTTATGACAACGTCGATCACTTGGAACCGAATTCGATGACCAAACACTGCATACGAAAGTCAGTAATTCGATATAGATGATGCACATTTGGTCGCCCTGACTGTAGCTGATGCTTACTACCAAGCATCCTAAATGTTATTTTAAACTGAAGGCAGAAGACATGTGAATACTTTCTAGTAGCGAGATCACGGCCTTTGGGATGATTTTTGCACCAAATCGGCTAGCTCGATGCACAAAATTTATCCTGCTAAGAAACAGTGAGATATCTTTATTAAAAGTTGTGGCAATGCTTTCCAATGAAATCTGCAAAGAGGACTATCAAGCTTCTACTCCTCACACAACCTGTCATACGTAAGTTCCAAACCCCCGACGAAAAGAAGAGGCCATGGTAATTCCACTTTGCCCTGTTAAAGAGCTGGAGGCCAGGAACATTAGAGAGGTCCGCGCTGTTTGTAGGTGTAGAACATTGCCGTTATCCAAGAATAAATGCACAAGGTGAAACGCTGTCTATGACTGCGTCAATACATTCCGTCATTGAGATTATCAACTTCGCTGCGAACTATTTGTACAATTCGCGGAATGCGAGCACAAATGCTTCAAGTGTCTATCTCAAAAGAATCGTCACCCACGGACATCTGAATACCTAGCCGTTATACGACCGCTCGTCCGAAATGCTTGTTCGAAATGTATCTTCTAGGAATTGTGCTTTCACGGAAAGACACAAAACCGTTGTCAATCCCTTTACAACTGGTCACACAGTTCCGTTTTCCGCCGCCGTGCATCTCGGGATTTCTCCTACAATT